AGATGTGTATAAGACCGTAGTATATAGTAAAATAAATTAAATTTAATTAAAATATGGAAGAAGCATAGGAAGAAAGAAGAAGAAAGAAATTTCAAGCGGCTAAAATATTACCGAAAATATAAACAATAATAATCATTTTGTCATTGCATCACTTTTTTGTGAAAATTTGTTGGCACTAATAGTCAGAGGTGGAGGTGCCGGCAGCCTACATGATATTCGACATCGAACACAAAAAATGTATCCTAGAGCCGCCACTGCCTTAGCACCAACCATGGTGGACCTGAGGTGGTACAGATCCTCCATCTGTGAAAATCCCTCCCTGGATCTGTCCCTGATATATTTATTTTGTAGTTTAAAACATTACAGTGTAGTAGGCTTACAATGAAAGCATGATTAAAATGAGCACATCTAAAATCCCACAATGGAATAATTGGTGAACTCGACACGAAAATCCCCCAGTCTCAGAAGGCCACAATCCCCCCCCCCCGAAAGCATGATTAAAATGAGCACATCTAAAATCCCACAATGGAATAATTGGTGAACTCGACACGAAAATCCCCCAGTCTCAGAAGGCCACAATCCCCCCACCCCCACCCACTCGGCACCAGCGTTACGCCACTGAGACCTGAAATCGTATTCAATCTTGCAAACTAAAGAGGAGGGCTTCTTGAGAATAAGCTATTCGAGGTGTCAATGGTATGGGATAACAAATGCAAGCTTTCTGACTTTCCGAATTAGTATCCTATGTGGGCGATCACATTAAAGATACACTGTCTGCCAAAAAAATCGAGAATACCTTCGAAAATTCAGATAATTCTATTAATAACTCATAAAATGATCAGCGTATTAAGGTATTAACCAGAAACATACCGGAAAAAAAAGTTTTCTCTGCTTTGCAGATATTTTTCTCCAAAAAATCCTTAATAGGCCTACTTTGAGGGACTAGGACTTCACATTCAAATTTTCAATTGTAAGTTACATAACTTACTTGAATCTCCAAATTAAGCAACCTTATGGAATCGCCGATTTTTTTTTTAATTTGCTGGGCTCTGACAGAGAAAGTAGTGGGCCTATAACGAACTCATGAAGAATTGGATAGACTGAGGTAAAGTCCTCCTCCTGGGTTAAAATGCCTAGTATTTGATTTATCTCGTATGAGGGCCTAGTTCACTTTAACATTCCAAAAACCGACCCAGGAAATGAGATTCGATATCATTCAAGCATATAATAATTTATAATATTACATAATAATAACAGTGAAGCCATTTAACGAGTGAGAACCGTAGTCACCTTTTTAACAAATAGGCTTTATTTTTATAATACGTGGGGCAGACAGGGAAGCTCATGTTAAGTATGTCCTAACCATATTGAAATGAAAGGTGCTTTCTTCATTTAGGATGAGTTGAGTGAGTGTCAAAATTGCAATATATGGCGTAAAAGGCCCGTGTTAATTGTTTTGGTTTTGGTGGGTGGGGGGGGGGATCCCCTAGGCCTCTTACCCCGATAATAATCTAGCTAAACAATTGCCTAAAGAATTGACCATATATCATACATAATAATAAATAGATTAATATTAATTACAACATAGGCCTACATCTTTTAACATTATTTTCTATTGTTAAGTATTATTATTCATTTAGAATCTGAAAAAAATACATAAAAATTATACGGAAAACGAAGATTCTCATAGTATAGGCCTACAGATGATCAACAAAGAGCTGCATGCTGTTAATGAAGAGGGCTAAAGGTTCCCCTTAAAGACTACTGCTAAAATGTATGGTATCTACCCCAGTGGCGGATAATTTATGGGGGATTATGGGGGTAGGTAAGATGTCCGACTGGGGAGTGGGGGCTAAGTATTTATGGGAGTAACTATAGTGCGCAGTGTTATCTGAGGGCCGAAAGCCCGAGCCGGGGGTGGGTATGGGAGGGGGATGTCCCCTCCCAAAAGAAGATGATTTTTTGGTCCGACTGCCTGACGAGCTTTGGCCGATGGGGGGGGGGGGGCATTTCCTGTTAAGGTAGTCCAATTTCCTTTAAAAATTGCACATTTTAGGGAGTTTTGATCAATTCCGACGAAATTAACCTATGTGGGGGTAGGGGCTTAAGCCCCGCTGCCCACCCGAAGGCGCCGCCACGGATCTACCCACCCCACATTCCCACGCAAACCAACAACATCAGGAGAAAATGATGTTAATTTTATCGTAAACCAGACAGATTTCATTTAATATTTATTTTTATTTCTTTGTTTTATTCTGTCTCCTGTATTCTGAACGTAAAAAATATGAATACCATGCTCAAGAGCCCACAAAGACAATCCAATGGTAAACACTGTTTTAAGCCAACATCTGTGCTAAGTTTTCAATAAAATTAATGTAAAATCTTTTCTATTGTTAAAAAATGTGTTTATCTAACCACCCTTTATTAATAACTTACATAATTAATATATTATATATTAATAATCGTGTTTTCAATAAGTTACCGGCAGCTTCAACTGAATGAAGATAATAAATGAATACACGTCATCAGGAAGAACATCACTTAAATGTCAGTAGGTCAGTAGGTTTAATTGTACAGTATTGTATTTGCATTGTCCATGCAGTCTTTTTTGCCCATCATTAAATCTCATAAATTGAAAAAGGAATAGAGCGACCTCTATAGTATGAACCGCGATCTTATGCGGAAGTTCTTACAACAACATGCATCAAATCCAAAGCAAAGGGGCATTCTAGGGTTGCGCTTCATCTATGGTTGTTTTGGAAGACGGTGGGAAGTCTGTATTGAGTTTCGTCTTGAAAATCTGTCCACTGAACAATGGACGAAAATATATGACGTGAGGTGCGTGGCTGACATCCTAGCGGACTAACATAAAACAAGGTATTTATCTATATTTTCAGTCAATGTGGAAGATAACACAGAAGATGATATATATTCGCTCTCTTGTGATGTGCGCAACCGCATTATGATTTGGTATGGAAATGGAGTGTCTTTCTTGACTAAGCATATCAGCTTTTTAGTAGCTCTACGAAGTTCACGACAGAACCCTCCTGCGAATTGCTAAGTGGTGCTGAGTCTGGTTAGGAGAGGGATCAGTCGTATTCTAAAATCTAGGCCTTGCATTCGCATTCGTTTTTGTATAGTAGTAGACAGAGGATAACAACATATTAGATAGTCGGATGGAAAGAATACTTGTTCCATAATATTAATAAATAGTTCATTAGGCCTAGGCCCTAGGCTTATTCATTTCAGATATTTCTTTTGGAGAGTGGTATTTTCTCAGATGCGGCCCCCTTCTTCAGATGATGAAGCTTAGCACAACCTGTTGCCAATATGACTGAGCGTGCAGTAATTATGATACGTGCCTCGTATGTGAAAACATGTACAGTTTATTTTTCATGCAACTAATTTGTGGTTGATACAGTATGTTTGTATGGTGTATTATTAAGGAAGTGGCTATACGTGGAAGTAAACAAATCAGTAAACGATACATTTATGCAGGGCTTGAACTTAAGGGTTATTTGGTCGCATTTGCATCCTGATTTTTTAAGGTGCGACAAGGAATTTAACTTTGTTGTGCTCAGTGCGACAAGGTCTTTTGATAGCGCGAGTAGATTTTGTAAGCGGCAGGAAGGTGGTTTCCCTCCAAATCCCAATTATTTACAACTTGTACAGCCCATTATTTTCAGTCAGGCAGTATGCAAAACATGTTATCATTCATTTTACATGTACTGTATCAACCAATCAGCATGACCTAGACTGTTAAAGTGTGACGTCGTATACTAAAACCGTGTCGATGTGCGCTCATCTTATGGATGATTATATTCAAAGTACTACCGGTATTAAGGCAGACATCTTTTATTGAAAACCAAACAAATTACCTAAACCTCATACATTATGAAATAAGATTACGCTTCTTCAATCACATGGCTGATGATAAGAAAGGGTATAAAATACTCTTTGATGATAACCTCAGCCAGGCTTCACGGAGCAGCTATAGTTTAACAACATGCATCTCGATGAGCAACATCTTGAAATTTACAAAAAAACAAACAAATAGGTCTCACAGCAAATTTTTAAACCTAATTAAATGAAATAATATAGAAAGCAACTCCTTTACTATCATTTATTTACTGAAAGAGCCAGTCGGCTTCAGACCTACTTTTGTTCGTATCGGCGGTGTACAAAGAGTCAAATGACTGTGTCTGGCAACCTCGGTGTCTGTGTCTACCAGGAGGAGCCTGGAATTGGGAACGTTTCTCACTGAATGTAGTAGACGGTAAGCAGAGTTATTTCATAGGCAACTAGTAATGGGCCTCTGTCAATTTATTTCGTTCTTAACGAAGTATCAGCAGGAAGTAAGCAAAATGATTGTTTAATCGTGTTTTGAAATAATATAAAAATTGAATTGTATATAAATGAATATTTAAAGATTAAATTTAAAACGTGGAATTAATAAAGTGCAACAATTGAATTAATTGGTTAATTTAATCTATAAGATATATAAAAAATATATAATTCTACAAGGAATGTTTCTTGTAGAATACGTAACAACAAAACAACATCGAACTAATTGGTAGTACAGTACAGCTAAATAATATTGCAACATTTACTATGCGTAAATGTCGTAGACATAACGTAAGATTTGCGTATGCGTAGGCCACATAGGACGTAGAATAAACAATCCTCTACATGAACCTTACGCGTAGAACGTAGTTCAGCGAATGTACGTCGTAGAGCTAAGATGAACTTAGGCCGCGAACCGACCTAACGTAGAGACGCAGAATTGTTTATGTTTTTGTTGGTTCAGTCTACCGTTATAATTTAACATGAATAAACGTTGTAGTTGTACAACTGAATTGAGTTAAAACAGGCATCGTCTAATTGCAAGTGTCTTGTGTATTTTATTGTTCTAAAGTTTAGCTTTTACAATTTAAGATAATTATCCTAATTAATATGTTCGTCTGTTGGTTACCTTAACAAGGCCTATGCGCTGTGCTTGTAGATAACCATGTGTAAGCCTACACTCACTCTGTATCTTCTTGCTATCATTCAAAACGTCTAGCTACCACATAATACTAGAATAAATTCCAGTTTTTGAAATACATATTCCTTGATCAGATGAGATAGCATATTCACAAAACTGATATAAATAGTAATACGCAAAGACACTACAGTACATCTATGGAAAAAACTAGTTTTGCTGAAGCAACCTGACATACCAACAAACAACGAGCACATGGGATGGAATGTAAGTGCGTCAGAAAAAAACTTGGTCGACTGCCAAAAAAAAAGCATGCAGGGCAAAAGATTACCGCTAGCATTTGCGCTTTCTAGTCAAAGCGGCAGTAAGTCGAAACAGCAAATTCCAAACCGGCTACACTTTTTTTTTTATTACTGTAGAACGGCAATGGACCAAAACGGCAAGAAACCAAATAAATAAATAAATAAATACAAAGTAAAAATACAGACAAAATGAGGATTTAATAATAATAATTATAATTATAATTATAAGAGGCAGTGTGAAGTTGGCCCTCATCCAAACAACGAATCACGCGCCACTAATCTAGGTGAAAGGTTAAACATGTGCTTCATTTTGTTGTGCGTCAATTTTTCACTTGCTTTCTACTTCCTCTGAATACTCAATTATTTGTCTATGTGGTAATAAATTGTATTAACATAAAATGTTTATTAATTATTGCTTTAATTTTTTAATGAATTATTATTAACATATGCAAGTTACAGTAGGTAAATAAAAGCTGAAAGTTTAAATCGCCTTTGTGCTAGCGTGATAAGAAACCATTCAACCGAACAAAGCGCGATTCTGACTCTTGAAACATGAGACAGTATGGAGCATGTGGTTTGTTCCCAACTGTAAACATCGACCGCATTACAGGCATAACGACAAAGAAATTATTACACCGTGGTTTTAAAAGTCTTAATAAAAATATAAAAGACGAACTAATACAAGAATGGGTTTTATTTTTTTGAGAAAGATTAAATGAATTAGATTGTAAGAAATTTAAATAATCAAAATATTAATAATAGATGAATACAACGTTATGACCGAGTCTGACGAGAATTGGTAGTGAACTAAATTTTCTCGTGTATGAAGACATGGACTACCTAGGCTGCAGTCCTACGCATTTTCTTCTTGTCACTTTCTGATTTAGCAACTCAGCTATACATTGATTGCAGTATTTTAGATAGTTATGTCTGTAGAATACGAAAGATATTTAATCTTGACTAGGCCTATATAGGGCCGTAGTTGAATTTTAGGATTGCAGAACAGGCACAACATAGCCATGTATCATGCAATAATAGGCTTAGGCTCCCAATCGAGTAGGGAAGCAGATTTTCATCCTATATTATCTGCTGGGTTAGGTATGCGCCAGTGCTGTTACATACACCGCTGTGGCAACATACAAGCTAAGAGTAAGGCTGTACAAGGCTGTCTAAAACTACATCGAGAAAAGTTTGACTTTATTTTCGTGAGTAATTACTAATTTTAAGGAAGGTGTACGCCTTGGCCTATGATTATTTGCTGTTTATGATGAATGTTTTCTAGATAAACGTTCGATAGACCACATTCTATTCTACGTTCGACGTTGTCCGGTTCTACGCATTGTACACACTTATTGACTACGTTATAAATTGTTCTACGTTCTAAATTAACTATGTTCTACGTTCTAAGTTCTACGTTTATCTACGATTATGTTTTTGTTACGCGTATCCTACGAGTGTACTACGAAGATTACGCGTGGTACGGAGGCAGTAATTCACGTCTGTACTGTAGGCCTT